CAGGCAGGGGCGGCAGCCTGTGGTGGGGCCTGGGCTGCAAGCAGCAGCCTGCAGTGGCGAAAGGTTTCCAACCCCTGGCTTAGAACAAGGGGACCTCCTGATATTTTGTCAACTGGACTGGTTTCCCCTGAATTGTCCAGGACCCTCTCAGTTCTGAATTGTATTGTTTTACCAGGATTTAAACTTTCTCCCACCTCCATGCTTAGATTTAATGCTAAAGTAGCTTACCCTGAGAGAACCGGATTTCACCAAGTTCGTAAGCTACATTGCTTGGTTGCTTGCTTGGTAAATAAATGTATGGAAAATCATGATTGGGATAGGCTATAAAACATTTGGCAATGTTTCATGGTAGCCAATTTTTCCTGTTCCTAGATTAAAAAAAAAATTGGGAATGCAATAATTTGCTCTGGCTCACAGATGGGAAAATACAGTTAACTTTTTAATGATTCATTGGTAGTCCTTCCTGAAAAATAACTAAACTAGTAGAGTATTCTGCATGCTAACAGATACTGATCCTTGTGCTCTGTTAAAAGGGGCCTAAGTTTTCCCTGCTGTTTCCCACTTTACTGCCACTAATGAAGCCAAACCAACATGGGAGCATCAAGAGACACAGATGTAACAGTTGCTTGTTACTGAATGGTACTTGGTAGGTCAGGGTGGCAGCTTTGAAACTAATTGACCAGGCATCTTTTACTTATTTCTGAACCAGTTTGGGCAGGGTAGCACCTTCAAGACCTACCTTCTGCCTCACTTAAACTAACATGGCTAACTATCTCTGAATGGTACCTGCAGAAGTTGGTGTGATGTAATTGTTACTTCTAAAGAACACCAGAACATAGGAAGCACCATACTGGGTTGGACCAGTAGTCCATCTAGCCTCGTAACTTGTCTCTGAGGGAGAACATGTGGACAGGGTATAAGAGAGCGGTCTGTTCCTTGTCATACCCTCTCTGGCATCCACCATCATTGGTTTAGAAATGTATCCCTGACTGTTCTGTTGAATAGTTATTAGTGGATCTATCATCCATGATTTTTGTCTAATCCCTTTTTGAATCTGGCTGTACTGTCTGCCTTTATGATCTGCTGTGGTCTCCTGCTAATTTTAGTGGGTC